ATCTTTGCTTCTCTTCAGCGTGGGCAGCCCTCTCTTTGGCCAGAATGGCCTCCAGTTCGGCCCGAGTAGCCTCTGCCTTGGCTAGTGCCGTCTCTGCCTGCACTCGAGCAGACTTGGCCTGTGCCCGAGCGGCTTCCATTTGTGCTTGACCAATTCGCTCTTGCTCGAGCACAGCCTCCTTGTCTTTCAGCGCAGCTTCCTTCTCTGCTATGGCCGCCTCCTTAGCCGCGAGGGCAGCATCCCTTTCCGCGAGAGCCCTACTTTTATTGCTGAGCTCTTCATCAAGGGATTGAAGCTTGACGTCGAACTCAGTCTTCTACTCCACTTGGGCCTCGCGGAGCTGGGAATTATGCTTGACAAGGGTGGAGTTCTTATCCTGCAAGAACCGGATGGTGCTCTCGAGACTTTTCAGGGACTTCCCAGAGCTGTCACGAGCCTCTTGCGCTGTGGGCAAGAATTGGACCAAGCCCTGCAATTGAGAAAAAGGGTGCAGTTCAAAACCCGTGCAACACGTGAAGCATAGGAAAGAAGACAGGGAAACGTGAGGAAAACAATACCTGGGCGATCCACTGAACGAATTGATCCCCAAACTCAGGCAATGTGGGGCCAAGCTTTTTGCGGTCGTCCTCGAGGAGAACTCCCTCGAGGCGCTCGGCCACCTCATTCGTGGACGCCGATATCAAGGACGTCGGCTTCGGAGCAAGAGGGTCGTAAGGAAGATAACTGTCGCGCCCTCGCTTCCAGACGATCGCGCCTTGGTCGGTGCGGGACCGCTTGCCCAGCACTGTCTCGCGCCCAGTATCAATGTTGCTGCCAGACTCGACCAATGCCTTGGTCGAGCCGGCAGATGGGGTCTTGAGAGATGGTTGATCGAGGGGAGGCCTTTCTGAAGCTGGGGTCTTAGAGGAGGAGTGGAGCTCAGAGGATTTGCCCATGGTTTTGGAAGAAGCAGAGTCTTTGGGAGGGGGAGCTCGATGATCGATTTTCTGGCGGCCGTCGATCTTTTGACGGTCGTTAGTTCTCGCTGAACGATCATCGACCTGGTGGTGACGATCGGTGGACTTCTGACGGTCGCCAGGTTTCTGTTGACGGTCAGCAGGCTTCTGACGATCATCGACCTTGGAGGAGGTCGAAGACTTGGTGGCCGAAGAGGAAATGGATTTTGGTTGAGGGTTCTGGGAAGTTTGCCCCGGCTGCTTCGGTGGCTGAGGAGGCTGCTTCTCCTGTTGTTGCTGTTGTTGCGGCTGCGAAGGCTGCTTCTCAGGCCGCTGTTGCGTTTCCTTGGGCGGCGGTGGAGGAGGCGGCGGAGTCTGCCGTGGTGGCGATCGCTGTAGAGGCTCTGGTCGAGACCCACTAGAGCTAACCGATCCATCAGCCTTGTCACCGCCCGACCCGGCGACAGCCCCCGTCTTCTTTTTCAGTGGAGTTTTCCTCGGAGGGATATTGAAGCTGGGCACCTCTGCAAGAAAATCACAACATATATTATATTCGGAATTAATAATGAAACGCACGAGCACTTGACCAAGCTGCTCAAGATTACCTGGATCATCTTCAAGTCGAACGAGATCGAGGATCTCGTCAGAGGGAGGAGGACAAGTTTTGTGGGTAAGAAGACCACAATGGTGGAGAAGGTTTTCATCTCTAAGAAGTTTTTCTGAAGCAACAGTCTTAGAGTTCCAGGTATGGACCCGTTGCTCAAAAAGGGGATTGGAGGGAGGAGCGGAAACTTCCTGGGGAACCTCCTTCACCCAGAGGACGGAAGGCCAAGGGAACGGTGCCTCAGGTCAAACGAAAATGAACCTGTCGATCCAATTGGGCAGGTTGGAGGGGATGTCATCGATGAAGTAAGCGCCGTTGCGACTCTTTAGGTAGAGCCCTCGAGCTTGTTTGGAAGGGGCGTAACAGTAATGAAAAAAGGCGAGGTCGAATCGACCGAGGCGAACATGACAGAGAATAATGAAAATCGTCATGAAGCGGATGGCATTTGGAGGAAGCTGATGCAAGGGGAGCCCAAACCACTCACAAATTTGAAGTAACTCAGGGTTCAGGGGAAAACGCAAGCCCATCTTAAACTGGATTTCGAAGAAGGTGTAACAATTCTCCGGAGGCTGGTCATATTTGTCGGACTCTGAAGGGAGGTAGAAGGTCCAACCAACAGGTCGACCGATTCTAGAAGGACTCACCCAATCACTGGAAAGAGTAAGAGAAGAGGAGCGTTTGGAAGAGGCTTTAGAGGTGGCTTTGGTCGATTTTTTCTTAGGTGGAGAGGCAGAAGCGCTAGGTTGGGAGGAAGAGGGAGGGATGTTCAAGGAGGGAGAAGCAACTTCGTCCCTCTCAGGTTCATCTAGCTCACCAAGAGCAGGTCGGCGACGGCGGAGGGGAATATTATCCATAGTATCCCCAGAGTTGGGAGAAGAGGCACGGGCGGTAAAAACGCGTGTAGGTACGTTCTCACCGGGACGGAGTATCGAAAGGGGAACAGCTTCAAGTGCGGAGGGCAGGATCTCAACCGAATCAGAGGAGGTGGTCGAGGCAGCAGGATCTGAAAAACAAAGAAGAAAGGAGCAATGTCAAAAAGGGAAATTTGGACGGAAAGGAAGAGAGGAAGAAAGAGAAGGTTTTCAAAATAGGGGTTTTACGAAAAAGGTGGTTTTGGGAGAAATCAGGGGAGGAGAGCAGAGATTCAAAGAGAATCTCAGAGGGAGAGAGCGAAATCTACAACAATTGAACAGGGAAAAAGCCAACACCCGACATACGAATTCAAAACACCCAGTTAGCAGACTTAAAACATCCAATTCAAAAAATTCGAAACATAAAATCCTAAGCACAGAAAGCGTAAAACCAGAGGAGGAGCAACTTACTCATGAGCGCAGATGGAAGATGTGGAAGAGATTGAAGATTGCAGGGGAAAGCGTCGAAATAAATTAGGGTTCTTGCAAAAGGAATGTTTGAACACAGGGGAGTCTGAAGTTGCAAAGGTGGAAAAACTGAAAAAAATCGCTAAGTGCTAAATATATACTTGGGAGGTTAAAAGGTTGGGAGAGCAGGGCCGTCGGATTAAAGGCAGATCCAACGATGGGGAATATTAATTTGCACGGAGCTCAAAACAGACACGTTAGGCGAGGAGGCGCAATAATTAAAGCGCCTGACACATGTGACAGGCGCGACGCGTGGCAGAAAACGGATGCGACAGAAAGGACTTAAAGCGGATGACTTTATTGCTAGGGATTAATGGGGAATTATTCGAAAAAGTGAGCGGGAAGCTTACCAGCTGGTCGATATCTAACGACGAACCATCCAGAAGGACGATAAATGCTAATTCACTCTTAGATCGAATCATTCAGACTCGACCAGAGTGGGGGGGACTAGATGATATGGGATATTATACCCACAAGGCTGAACCGGTCTGTTGACCGGTCGAGGAGGTCGTACTATGAGGAAGCCAAAGAAATCGAGCAGTCAACTAGTCGACCAAGCAAGGCTGTCGACCAAACTATCCTTCGACCAGATACACGATCGAGCAGCCTATTCGACCTCGACAGGTCGATTACCTCGAGGACTCAACACCACGCTGTTCGGCCTAGTCATAGGCGCGTGAAGGAAGCCTCTGACAGAATTCCAAGGGAATATTTACCCCATGTGCAGGGGGACACGTGTCGAGAAGGCAGTGGTGGGTAGAGATAACCACCTCTGACAGCATATCCCATGTGCAGGAGGACACACGTCCAAAGAGGATTGGTGCAGGCGATAGTGGCGACGGTTACCTCTGACACACGCGTGTGGTGTGTACGGACGGGCAGTTAGGGCAGACATCTCATCAAATCCGGGCAACCCTAGGTCAGGTATCTAACCCCTATATAAAGGGGGTGAGCCTTTCTTCTTCACACACGATCATTCTATTACTCTTGAGAATTGATTGAGTACACACTGACTTAAGCTTCGGAGGCTCTTCACCGGAAAACCCCTCCGGTGTGGGAGTTCTTTTTAGGTGCACGACGTTCAACCGTCGAGAAGGAAGGCGATTACTCAAGTTCCAGCCGGTCGGGAAGTTTTGTGTTACCACCAATAATGCGTGGTTATGCGGGCGATCAACATTAGTGTGCTAATGCCATGCTTACGGGCACAATGACATACTTACTTGACTTAGGACGTGATTCATGATTAATTAACTTATCATTAGCACGTGAACGATGAACTTAAGCCCGATAAAATAATTTATCGAGCGATTAGACATGAATTAATTATCGAAAATTATTCCGAACAGGAGCATGATATTCGAACTTAATTCGAACATTCTTGACTGAAATAATTAGTTCCGAACAATAACGAATGATAAATTAAATAATTCAGAACTAAACGTGATATTTTATTAATAATATAACGGGAGTGGAAGACCAAGTTCTTTTACATCCGTCCTGCTCCCGGTCGGTACCCTTACTCCAACATCTGGCTTACCTGTAAGGTCAATCAAAACAATCCTCGTCCTAGGTCGAGCCAGTTTCAGAATATGCTGGACGACTTGAATAAGTTCACATGGAGTGCCCGCTTGTTGGTTAAAGATCGCGGTCTTCTTAATCATGTGGGTTGGTGGAAGGACGAGGACGCCCCTCGCGTCGATGATCCTCGTAAGCCCATGTGTTTGTCTGTTTCTATGCTTATCTTCTTTTATTAGTAAATTACTCGCTTTTACCATCATTAGTGGTGTTTCTTATTTACTTATTCCCTCGTCTTTCATTTAAGCTTTGCAACGCTTCGAGACTAAGAAGGCGAAAGGCCGTGAAAAGTCCGCCAAGCCAGTCGTTCCCTCAGCGAGAACCGACGACGGATCTGGCTCTGGAGTGAAAAAGGCGGTGGTCGAGACGACCGTCGCCAGAAAATCAAAGATGGTCATCCCCTCCTTACTGCCGCAGAAGAACCCGGGTTCTGGGACCAAGAAAAAGGGACCAGACGAAGTCGACCCCAAGCAGAGGGCCGACTCGTCCAAGCGCCTTAAGAGTCGGGACAAGGGGAAAGCGGCTGAAGCTCCCCGTTCTCCTGGCGCCCTCGAGACAGTCACACTCGAGAGGCCCTGCCAACTCTGGAACCATCCCCATCCACATGAGATTGCCAAATATTTTGATTCGGTCATCCCTGCCGTTGACAAGGCTCGCACCAACCGCGATCCTTCTGATCGTGCTGGTCGGGCCCTACTGTGCTTCTCTCAGGTAATTATTCTCAACCCCTACTTTAGTCGGCTTATCTTTACGCACACTTTTGCCTTAATTTTGACGTCTTGGTGCTTCTTATTTTTCAGTTTATGGCATACATAATGCCAACTCTCCTCGAGGAATCAATCTCCCCCAACTCCAACGTCCATGCTTATAAAAAGAAGTGTGAGGAGCAGCTCCTTGAGCTTGAAATGAAGGACGACGACCTCGCGGCAGCCAATGCTCTGATTGCGAAGCTTAAGGCCGACAAGGCTGCCGCTCTCTCCAAGGTCGACCAACTGCGGGCCGACCTTGTTAAGGCCACTGAGGATAATGTGGCTGAGAGGGAGATCGGGAGGGAGGAGAGACGTAAATCCTTCCTCAAGTCACCGATGGGTTCCGTCTTCCTCGACGCCTATCGGAAGGAGGTTGTAGGAGCGTTCTGCAATTCCCCCGACTTCCTTGAGAAACTGTGCCCTGCAACCCTTCAGTACTTCAACTTCACATTCGACGCGTGGGAGTCGGCCGCGAAGGGCACTACTCTGGAAGGCAAGGTCGACCGTCAGGCGCTGAAAGAGTCCTTTCCTCTTCTGGCCAGCTATCACAGTGATACGTCGCTTCCCGACGATTATCCTTGGTGGACGGGTCTTGAGGCTCGGCCGATCCGGAAAGATAAGTTGGGCACCCAGCTCGAGGTTTCCCCCACCCCTTTGGCCGGTCCAATCAACTTGGTCGAGCCGAGTGGAGCGGACGACGAGGAAGAGGAGGAAGAGGCCGATGAGGAGAGGGAGGTCGAGGAGCCGAGAGCAGGGCCAGCGGTCGAGGAGACGAATGGCGGGACTGAGCCTTTGGGTGACAAGGAGGATGCGAGGACTGAGCCTGTGGCTGATGGAGGCGGGGATGCCGAACTTGGTAAGAAATCAACTGCTAATTCTCAGCAGAACTAGATGTTCGCTTGTCTTGAAGTTTGTTATTTTTCTATCGCCACACTCGATCTATTTTCCCAGTTTGTAAAGATCGAGGTGGTTTTCTGATGTATTTGAACGTCTTTTAATATAATGCTATCTTTTCTCATCATTTGTCTATATTTTACCGATTCTTCGTGGTTGGCTGTGCTCGTGGTGTAACGTCCCCATTAGTTAATAAAGCGAATCCATTTCACTTGCTCGACTATAAAGTGAAATCGGCATTTTTCGAACTTTTTTTAGTGTTCGACTAAGTCTTATTATGCGACTTATGTGATTATATGTGCTAATTTGCCTTAATGTTTAATGTATGTTAGACTATTTCATTTACTAAGTTCGACATTTTTCGATTCATGCCGGATCGTGAATTCTCTCACGCCGAACCCTAGTCGCGCATTCGCCCGTACCGACGCACCAATCGACCAAGCCTCGAGGACCTTAGAAATCTTAGGGCATATGAGTTCAATTATTTTAGCCATGTTAATGCCATTTTCGGTTATAAAGTTCGAGTCCAAGCCAAGCATTAGACCCGCGAGATCCCTAGCCGCGCACGCCTTCCACTGAGTCTTAGTCGAACTCCTTGAGACCTTAGCCATCTTACCTCTTTAGTTTCAGTCCCATACCATACCATATTACCAGGTGGATTAAGGATTAATTAAGGTCAAGTTAGCCTTAAGAAGGATTAAGGCACTCTATTTAGCATTAGCCTTAAGGAGTCATGTGTTAGGTGCATTATTTTAATGAGCATGTGTAAGGTTTTTGTCCTCTAGAGCATTGGGACTTCACCAGCCATGTACCATACCAAGATTCCTTGCTAATACAGCCAATAATCCCTCCAAGACCAGGCCTAAGTCGTGCCAAAAACCCTCCCCAAACTCCCATGCACCTAGAGAAGAGAATTATTTCCTTGGGCTAGCATTGTGCAATCCGCCCCTAGTGCTCCTTATAAGCTCATCTCCTCAGCTGAATAGTGGTCATTTAACACTTAGAAACTCAGCAATTTCGAGCTCAACACATAGCAAAAGATAGAGAGAATGCCGAGAGCAAATCATCAAAGCTAAGAGCAAACAAGAGTTTTTCCAAGAGCCATTTTATGTTAGTACCAAGTTTATTCCAAGTTCTAGCAACCTAAATTTGAGAGCACCAGCTATATAATCCTCCTACATCATCCTACTCTCATCCTAGAAGCATATAGTGCCAGTAAATTCAAGAAACCAAGCAAAAGAAAGCAAGAAGCCGCAGCTTTACGAGGACAGAGCAAGACCGAGCATACCCGACTTCCTTTGCATTTTTCTTGAATATTAAGAGGTTGGTGTGCTCAAATCTTTTTTGAATCATAATATAGATGAGATAAGGAGTAGAATGATATATATGTGTGCCATACATGTTCAGTTTCTAAGTAGTTATAAGCATGCAAGAAGTTAAAGTTGTCCCAGCTGCATGAGTGCTTCTAATGTGTTGTTTGCTTGCATTTTTGGCTATGCTATGAAAAACCTGAGAAACTATGCTTTATATGGCTGTTTCATGTGTAAAAGAGGAGTTCATAAGATCAAGAATCAAGTCAATTAGCCTAGTATAACTCGGGTTATTGATTTTTAAAGTTAGACATGCAAGTTGAACT